CACACACACACACACACACACACACACACGCACCCCCCCCACACACACACATCCTCACACACATACACACATACACCTATCCGCCCTCTTTCCTTTCCTGGTATCATTCTCCTATTTATCTGTGTCGATCTATCGACAGACAGCATCGTTGACGTCACACTGTGCATTTATTTTTATTTTTTTTAGATTACGCGTACGGACAAATACTGTGTCGCCACCACTCTGGGAAACTGTCGCTTTATGCGTAAAAAACGTGACCCTGCTTATTGACTCATGCTGTTATTATGTCTGGGGTTTGAGTTACATGTAGCACTCCTGTTGCATGCAACAACAAAAAATGTTGCGCATTCAAAAAGAGATAAAGCCTGTTGTGCTTAACAGATTCCAGTTTAATCGACAAGCATGTTAATAAATTTGGGGCGATGGTTTGTTGGACTATCTGCGGTACGTTTAACTACCGTAAAAGTCAGCTTGTTTGTTGCTTTAGTTACTGATTCACCATCGTATTTGTATCTGTTTCACTATTGTTTTGAAAAAAGAAACAACAACAACAACAACAACGACGACGACGACGACGACGACGACGACGACGACGACGACGACGACAACAACAGAAGAAGCAACATTTATTAACTTTGCAATAGGCCCAGTAACTAAAGAACATCACAGAAAAAAAAGTTGTAGAAAATCCTCAACACAAGAGCATTACACTTGATGATTCGGGCACTGCCCCTTCTGTTCACACACACACTGGGAAACGACCAGCACCTGTGGTGTACCGGTTAGGTGTTTCACCGTGGCACATAGAAACCCTGGGTTCGGTTCCCGTGAAGGAAGAATTCTTACCGAGTATCTCCGTCTTTCTGCTGAAATGTTGTGTCCCTCTCAAACTGGATTGTCTCTGACTTGCGGGGTCAAAGTCCATCTCCTAAATTAAGTAATTTGCGTTAATTTTAAAAAAATAAATTGGGGGGGGGAGGGGCGCACTTACATCACCCCCACTCCAACCCAATCCCCAACCCAGAAGGAGAACTCTTTTGTTCATACTCAGACAGATCTTTACTGGAGGCGTCAAGCGTCATAATTCTGGTTTTGGGCTCCTCGTTAGCTTTTTTTCTTTTTGTGCGATTTTGCTTATAAATAGCCCTGTTTCAGAGTTTAAAGGTTGGTGAACGGCGGGTGCTCTTGTGTGGTTTGTTCCTTCTTTCTTGTCGAGCTTATTTCGTCCTATCTTTCCTCCTTTTTGCGTTTGCCTCTTGTAACACCTCTAATCTTTGGCATTTTTATGACTTATTGTGTCGCAAGTGGCGTAAAACTCTGACTGAAAACTATCTTTTTGTTTTAAGCACCCCTGTTTCAGAGTTTTAGAACATATTTTCTTGGTAAAGGTCAAACAATTTTTCCCTTTTGTATTTCTTTGTTATTTTGAAGAAAAAAAAATTACTCTTAACACAGTGAGGACTAAGAACAAGAAGAGTGGGTGATGGCGGGTGCTCTGGTGTGGTTTGCTCCTTCTTTCCTATCAAACGTCTATCGTCCTGATCTCTCCTCCTTCTTTTTTATGTTTTGTTACTCCCTTGTACATGTAACACCTCTAATCTGCTGGCGCTCATATATGACCTTATGGAGTTGCAAGCCTTGTAAAACCTCTACTAAAATAAAAAAGAACAAGAGGTGGGTGACTGGAGGGCTCTACTGGTAGGTCCTACTTCTTTAGTTCCCCCTGTTATTTCTGGCTGTTTCTCTTACTTTTTCACAGCACTGAATGACCAATACTGTGTCAATGTGCTTCTCTTAACTCAAACAAACAAAACAAACGACCTTTTTTTTGCCCGTCTGCGACAACCCGGACTGACAGGGATACAACTCCCCAGCAGAAAAACCAAGATTTTCGATAAAAATTCTCCCCACACGGGAATCGAACACGGGTCTCCTGCCGGTCACGATAAAGCGTCTAACCTCTTCACCATAGGCGCTGATACGGTCGAAATAAATTGCTGTGATAAAAACAAATAATAACTCAAAAAGAAGAAGAACGATAACAGCTAACTGGATGTTGCTGATAACAGACTCCGACCAGGATTGAAAGATGACGCTAACAACAACGGAGAAAAAATTACTTTTTTTAATGAATAAAAAAATATTTATAAATCCCATGAACAGACTGACATTCCCGAATGCCTGAACTGTAGCCTACTATTCTTTCTGCCTTGCAATCCAGAGCCTTCTTCACTAGTACCAGGTTAGATTGACACAACAATTCCCGTTGGAACAACCTGTTCATGCGAAAACATTTCCCCTGACAAACAAGCACCCTCCACTGTGTCATTACTAATGATTACTTGGCCAACGCTTTGGCAGCCCTGTAGTTTGCGCAGCTTTTATTCAATTTCCAGCTTTTATTCCAAAGATTCTAATGACGCTCTTTGATAGTTTCCGTCTGAATGGTGTCATTGTGAAATCGCCAGCCATCATCAATTAGGGACGCGGATGGGGTAATTGAAACGTCTGTGTGTGTGTGTGTGTGTGTGTGTGTGTGTGTGTGTGTACACGCGCGCGCGTGTGTGTTGGCTGGGTGTTATTTATTTCATAGATTTATTCATTGTTTGAACATCAGTTTGGTTGGAAAGGAAGATGGCATTGATTGTTAGCCCTAAAAGTCGTAGACTGAATTGGAGAAAAAAAAGGGTTTGGAGGAATAGTTAAACCTGTCCAGGACGCCTATCTATTGTTGAGGAAAAAGAGGTTGTCTTAGACAGATGGTACTTTTGGACAGAGTCATTGTAATTTAGAAAACACTCCAAGAGGAAGTGGGAAGTGGTCGTTTGTACAGGTAGTTGTCTTGGACAGGTGGTCACCAGAGCAGGTCTGGCAGTATTAATTAGCTTTTCTAGGAAATGAGGTGGCTATAAGAGGTAGACTATGGGGACTAGTAGGAAGGTGGGCCAGACAGAAACAGGGAGGAAGAGGGGACGGGCACAGATCGTTAAAGGGGGAAAAGTAAAGGGAGAGAGAACGGAATCAAAAGTGAGAAACGATCATTTTTCATTGACATATCTTGATCTAGCACCACACCTAAATTGGCCATAGCATTAAGTAAAGTACATTTTTGGTGAAGTTGAAAGGTGCATTTTTGAC